AGTCACTCGAAAACTAGGCCCCTTTCGGTTCCATGCTCTCATTGGAGTCAAATCCACTATACAACAGTGGTATACAAGGGCAATCAAGGCTTGAAAGGCCATATACATTGAAAAATACTGCTATGGCATGCATCCTTTTGCCTTCTTCGCATTAGTATATGTTGGTCATGTCCGAATTGTCTCTTTATTGCAATCCTCAGTCCTCAATCACGAATGATAAAATGTAAGTTAACCATCCGAAAGAGGTCGTCAACTCTGACCATTTAGCATTATCCTTTTAACTCCCAAAATATTAAATAACAACACATGGCAGCAGTTTATTTTTGGATGTTAACTTTATTTACGTATATTAGTACTTTTTTGGGTCTACAGAGTACAAAGGAAAAGGGGTCAGTTAATTATTCAAAAGAGAAGGTCGATGTTAACTTTATTTAAGGATATTAGTACTTTTTTGGGTCTACAGAGCACAAAGGAAAAGGGGTAAGTTAATTATTCAAAAGAGAAGGTCGACGTTGACCACTAAGCATTGTCCATTAAACTCCCAAACTATTCACCAATAACACGAGGAACTATATTATTTTTGGAATTATTTTTTTTTTGAATAAGTTGACTATATAAGTTTTGGATGTTATGTATATGTACATTATAATTAGTAAACTTCAGGGTCTAGGAGGGGCTATAAGGAGTATGCGATTGAAAGATTAAGTTCAACAAAGGAATATTTTTATAAGTAGTTAATATCAAGAGAAATAAACTCTAGATGGATCTGGATCGCATTAACCAAGGATCTAGATCCCCCAATTTTATGGATCGAGATTTGTAAATTAAACAAACATCGAGAATTGAGATCCCTTGTCCTGGAGCAAAGGATTGAGCTTCTAGAGCTAAAGTTATCACCTTCTAAAGAGATCCCAATAACTATGGTCAAGACACATATGCGCATACACACATGATGAATATATATATATATATATATATCGATCTTGTCAGCCCATGGGCTGACTGCTACAGTGTCAGCCTCAATCTGGGCTGATCTGATGGTTACGACATCATTTCGTATTTGAATTTTCAATTTTTTCCTTCAAATCCAAATCACTTGAAATTTTTAGCGTTCATTCTTCTCATCAAGGCGCACCTAACAAAAATATATAAAAAACAATTCGCAAAATAAAAATTGATCAAACTACCCTCGAAACATTTCGATGGTATT